AGATACAGATTCTGAAAAAGATACAGCTACAGATACATGGCTGCCTCTGACATCTTTCCACAAAATGTCTCGCTTGGAAGCTGTCAGCACGATATTTCATTTTTCTGCCCCTCCATCCGCTCTTTGTTCTAATTATGGATGGACGGATGGGATGAGTTCGCTGTGTGTATCTGTATCTTGTATCTCTTGTATTTCTCGCTCCGATGATTCTGTATGTCGGCTGTTCTGTTGCCCAATTTCTGGCTGGCTGTTCTTTTATTTTTTCGTAAGAAAAAGAATCCCCCAGAACACGTTTCCACGATCAAACGCAAACAGGAATGAGAAAAACTTGTTTGGAAAAGTCACAAATGCCGCCAAGTCACCTCATCCAATCCGAGCTTAGTTTTTCAGTTTACTCAGAATCGGAATCGGGCCGCGTATATCTGTGATTCGTCTCCTGCTTACTGGGAAAACGGTGCGGGTCCAGAAAAAAAGGGTTCCGAGAATAAAGAGATTCCAGGCCATTAAAGGTGCCGAGCGAACTGGCCGAGACGTATCATAATTAGCTGGGAGAAAGATCATTAACGATCGCGGTGCGGGACCCCTGTGTCTAATTGGATAACATGAATTTAATTTTATTTCATTTAATTCGTACGCAGCATCTCCGGCCGGAGAAGAACCCAAGAACTCAGCGAGCAAACAGCCCAAATTTTTATGGCGACTGGCCAATGAACTTACCTCTCACCATATTTTCTCGTTTCTTTTTTCGGACATATTGCATGTGAATTTGTCCAGAGACGATTATATATATTTTGTGGTAGGTTTATTGTTGTCCGAACTCGAATTTAAATTTCACCGAAACTCTGGGACCGGGCACACACATAATGAAGCCATAAGCCGCCATTTCGGCCATAAACCCATTTGAATATTAATTTTGTTAATTAACTTATTCAAATTCGGGAATCGTTAAAAATGGAAGAAATTCTTTTTATGACTATAGCTCTATTTCTTCCAAAAAAAGAACGAGAAGAGAGGCAAAGCCAATGAAAGGCTTTATTGTTGGTGACAAAAATACAAATTATTCACTATAATTGCGACACCCACTGAATGGATCTTCCCACGGTTATAGAAGTTGGGAATCGGGCATCGTCATTGCGCTTTTTTCATATTTTCATTATTGTCTTTGAACATAGCATGTCTTAATTTTTGACCGTCTGGATCAGCGGCATTATTGTTCTATTAAGAAATGTATATTTCTGAGACTTGTACTCATCCAGAAAAAAATTACTCACAGCTAAAAATATCTATTTCTAATGCACTTAGACATATTGGTGGCATAGAAACCACACACACCACAAATGTTAACTATAATATGTTAATTTTAAAGAATTATCAAAATAGTTTTATACAGTTATTAAGATAACATTTTTATCAACTGCATATAAGTAACAAAATTATGTCAATGCTGATGTGATTTAAATGATTTTAGATGACTAATTTTTGCACTGATCATCACAATTGCTGCTGTGTCATAAGAAAATGTATAAGAACCATAAACTCTGCTCCGAACAAATCGTTTGCGTTTCCCATTTCCCTTTTTCCCCGCCCAGAAGGAACTGCAGTCAAATGATTTTACGAGAGAGCTGAGTGCGATCAAAGCGAAAGCGAAACTCTTGAGGGACACATGGGCCAGTTCCTCCGTAGTTCCTCCTCGGTTCCTCCAGAATGGTGTGGAGTGTGGAGTGCAGTTGGGCATGAAAGTACAGACAGTCGAAGGGCAGGAGTTGACTTTGACCCTGACACCGCCTTTGGGAGATCCGCGTGTGTATCTGTGAGTGTTGCACAATGCAAATGCGAAACGAGAAACAAATTTTACGACGTGTTTGACGGCTGTCTGTCGCTGCTGTCTGCGCGTCTCCTTGTCTTACTGACTCCGAATCCGAATCCGACTTTGACCCATTCCCTTTCCCTTTTTTTTGGCCTGGCCCGGCGCTCACTTCCGCACTGACTTGAGGGCCTGTCCCTGCGGGAAATCGCGGCATCCTTCATCCTGCGTCCTGTTTCCGCCGCCCTCGCCCCTGGTTGGCTGCCAGTTGAGTCGGCATCATTACCTGCGCGGTGTCAAATGCAAACAAGACGTTTGCGCCGGCCATAAAGACGGCTTCCTCGGGCTCTTGTTATTCTTTTCCTTCTTAAAGGACAGGGAAAATGGCCAGCTATGATGAGTGGCGCCTCGTTGAAACAGAGTTTATTGATGGACCTCGTAGTGGTTTACTTACTATGACTTTCGGTATCTTTTCTTGCAGTACTCTACACTGGAATTGAGTAGACCGGTGGAGTAGATCCATCCCTAATTCAGCATCGGTGCAGACCCACCAAGCACCGCCCCAGCAACAACTCTCAGCGGTGGCGTCCGGCCAAAACCACCTCGTTGCGCCGACAGCGGCGAGTATTTCTCCCAGCATCAGTTCCCATCCTCCAGGTAAGAGATAAACCTTATTAGGTCGGTTTTAATCAGAGAAGTATAACTAGCCCTAAGGAAAACTTATGAAAAGGGCTGAAAATACCCGATGAACTAAATAAATTTAAAAACCTACTTAGAAAGAGGTTTAAAACGTATATTTATGTTAAAATCATCCTTTTTTCAATCAAAGTAAGTTTACGAAATAAAATAAAATTTTAATTTTTAAAAATATTTATTTATTCGTAACTCAGGATTTATTCAATTGCTTCCAAAATAACACGTCTTCGAAAATCGATAAAAATGTTTTTAATTTTATTAAAATTTCAACGGGATGCAAATAAATTTATTAACTTGGTATTATATCAACAATGAATTATAGCACGTTTAATATTCAAAATGACATTGCTCACAACTGTTCCAATGTAAGATATTAAAATATTCAAGTTTACTTCTGACATTTTCCTTAACCCTTGCATAAATGTATTATTGTAATTGCTGAGAATGGATTTTTATGCGATTGTACGTACATTTTGTTGTCAAGCGGGTTGAGAGTTGCTCTCGACGCGTCCTTTTTACGATTTGTTAACATTTCTTTGCCCCCGACCCTGTGCCTTTTCTTTTCTTCCAATGGCAATTGCCATAAAATTCCCATAATTGTCCATTGCAGCGTAAAATTTGGCAAATGCCGTTCGAGGCGGGAAAGGGAAGGAAATTCGAAGGAATCGCTTAGGGGAAGATAGGGCGAAGAGATAGGGGTGAAAGTAGACCCGGGGTTCCTCAACAATTGTGTGTGCTGTCATAATTTGCTGAAAGAGCTGGCGCACGCATGTATTTGTTTAGCTAATTAACATTAATTAGTCACTTTGCTTTGATGACTGGAATAATTAGTTGGGATACTGGGTTCCTATAGAGCGTGTTTTTTCTAAGATATTTCTACTGCTGGCAATCGATAAAAAAGCGCCAACAGCGAACTACACACAAAGTCGTGCGACCTACCACGCCTCCCCGCCCCCAAACTCATCCCACTGAAATCTCGGCCATAGATGGCGCTGTGGTGCGCGCGTGTTAAGTATTCAAATCAGCCCCAAAAACGGGCAGTAAGAGAGCGCGTGTTTTTTGTTGTTGGTTACTCTAAAGAGCGGAGGCCTTAACACGTACACTGTGCGTGTGTGCTTCCTCGCCCTCGGTGACCCTCGGCGACTTGGAGCACCTGCTGAGCTCAGCGGATTCCAGTGCCAAGATACCATCTTTTTCTTCAAACTCGCCTGGCTAGTTGAAAAAGTGGAATTTCTGCGCCAGCAGCAATACTTAGAACTCTCTTTGGGTCCCCCACTCACACACACACACACATCTGCCCGTTTGGGATCCACACAGACGGTGTATACAGTGTACGTGTGCATAATGCGCCACAAGAGAGCAGCAGCAGTAGCAGCAGCAGCAGGAGCAGCAACTAGCAGCAACCACCATCACCACCAGCAACATAGGCGCATGCGCGCGCTCTCTTTCGAGTCACACGGACGGGGAGGCACACGCACACACGATTAGGCTGGCGCCGATGCCTTTTGTGCTACACTGCTGGCCTCTTGACTCTTAAAGCGAGACGGGGAGAGCGATTCTGGTTCTGTGTTGTCGGTGTGCCAGCGATATGTTGTCGCCGTGCGCTGCTGCTTGTCAGTGTAGATTTGTGCTTCGCTCTGTTCGGTTGGAAGGCGCGCGGGCGTCCAGCAGCAACAGCAACAACAGCAACTACAACAGCAACAGCAACTACAGCAGCAACAACACCCAAGTCAAGCGTCGAGGACTGGGACTTGAGCGATTTCCCACTCGCCGTCCATTCAGCTGGGAGTCTTTCGCTCGCACGGTTCAAAAACTAAACTTGAACATTTTCGAAAAAATTAAAAAATTCAACAAAAAATTAAATCAAAAAGCCAACAATCAAAACACCAAATCCCCCGGCGTTCCGAAGAGAAATAATAACATTTTTGTTAACTGTTGCAAACATTGCGTTTAATTGTTTGTTTTGGTCGTAAAATCAAATTTTATGACCAGCAACATAAAAAGCGAACGCCAGCGGCAGCAGAAAAAACAACAACTACTGCAGGCCCCACAAATAATAAACTATTTATGATAATTATAAAAAACAAAAGGAAAAGAAAAATAAATACAAACAAAGGCGCAATCAAAAGTAAAAAGAAAAGTGAAAAGAAAAACTTTAACTAAAAAAAACCCAAATTTGGAGAATTGGAAAATTTTTGGAAAACTAAAAAAGCCAATTTGAAAATATTGCGTGAGTTTCTGGCTACCGTGAACACCCTGTGAAACCGAAACTGATTCGATCCCCTGTGCAACAACAAAGTGACTCTCTTTGCCCGCTCTTGGGCAGTGTGCGTGTGTGAGTAAGTGGCGTGTGCGTGTGACCGCTGACGGACGTCTGTGTGCGTGTGCGGTACGCAAGAAAAAGGGGCAGCCAAAAGTACTTATTTGGATATTAAAAACTGATTTGGAAATTGAAAAGAAAGACTAAAAACAAATTCTAAAAAATTAAAAAATACAACTTAACAAAGGGTGCTAAAAATATAAAAAAGGTCGGTGGGTCGAGGCGATCGACCCCACTGCACCGTCTTAACCCAACGTCGCCGCTGTTCGAGTGCAACGCGTCCAAGATAACCGTAAATATTCCACCCCTCCCCCAGACCCCAACCATCCCGCTGGCGTGCGCTCTCTACGACCCCCACGATGTCTCGGCAGTCGGGTCGCACGCCGCTGCCGGGGCGTGGTGGGGGCATCACACACACACCCACACCCACGTACCCACCGCCCACCCGCATCCGCACCCGCATCCGCATCCCCAGGCGCATCCCACCCTGCCCGCCATGCAGCAACACCACCTGCAACAGCAGCAGCAGCAGCAACAGCAGCAGCAGCAACAACAGCAGCAGCAGCAGGAGCAACAGCATCTGCAGGAGCAGCAGCAACATCTGCAGCAACTGCACCACCATGCGCACCAACACCTGCCTCAGCCTCTGCACACCACCAGCCATCACCACAGCGCGCATCCACACCTGCAGCAGCAGCAACAGCAACAGCAGCAGCAGCAGCAACATGCAGTCGTCGCCTCCTCGCCCTCCTCGGTGCTCCAGCAGCAGCAACAGCAGTCAACGCCCACCACACATTCCACGCCCACGCATGCGGTCATGTACGAGGATCCCCCGCCTGTGCCAATTGTCGCCGTGCAGCAGCAACTCCTCCCCGCTCCGCAGCAGCAGCAGCAACTCCAGCAGCAACAGCAGCAGCAGCAACAGCTGGCGACAACACCGGTGGCCGGCGCCCTCAGTCCCGCCCAAACACCCACTGGACCCTCCGCCCAACAACAGCAGCAACAACAGCAGCAGCAGCAACATCTCACATCGCCCCACCACCAGCAACTGCCGCAGCAGCAACAGACCCCAAACAGTGTTGCCAGCGGCGCCTCCGCGAATCTCCAGCAGAATGCTACAGTTGCTCCTGGCCAGACACAGATCGTTGCGCCCACCACGGCGAGTGTTTCTCCCTCCAGTGTTAGTTCTCAGAAGGAAGGTGAGGTCCCAGAAAATATATCAGTCATGCAAGACATTCAGTTATATGGGTTATATGTGGTAGTACCAATGCCAATCCTTATTGGAAATCTTAAATACTTGGGGCAACTCTCTTAGAAGTCTATTAAAAAATCTTGGAGAAAAATATTTTCGAGAAAAAAGCATTTTGAAATTATTTACACCCCTGAGAAAATCTAAAAATACTGGGGAATTCAATTGGGAACAGGGCCGTTTCACTTCTTTTTTCTGTCGCTATTGCAATGAGTGTTCTAGTTTTGTTGATTGCATTACGCTTGACATGGCTGATAAGGGTTTTCTTGACCTCCGTTAGGAATCGTCACGCCTTTTACTTGTTTGGAAAATATTTTCCCTTATATTTGGACCAATTTTATTTATCGGCAATATGGCTATTGGAAACTAGCATTACTAAAACATTACATTTTTACAAACTGCAATTCGTAAAAACAAAATACACACCGAGATGTGCATATTAATTTCATTTAAAAGTCTTGAAGAATATTCACTTGTTAAAGAATTAACCAATTTGTACTTTTTAAATAATTTTAAGTATTTGGTCTATTTTAGCATTAAAGTTCTACAGACAAATGATTAAACTATTATAAGTTTAATATTATTCGAATATTTTTGGTTTCATTTAAAAATTCATGTTCTTTTTTAAAGTTATTTCTAACAGTTCGTACACCTTAAAAATAGTCTGCCAATTTTTATAAAACCTATATTTGACTTATGCTATGAGTTATAGGTAAGCGAAGGTGAAAAAATGAAACAACAATAAAGTAGCTCGTGCGAGATATACGTATATCTAAGCAATCATAAATAGTCGTTAAGATTAGATTTACCTGACTTTGGCCAAATATTAATAACACCCAATCCGCTTGTCCCGCTGCTTTCAGACAACAATATGTCCATCCAATTAGCGCCCCTGCACATACCCGCCATGCGGCCGGGATTCGAGCCGGACACCTCGGCGGCGGTCAAGCGGCACCCGGCACACTGGACCTACAACGATGACGCATTCAACCAGTATCCCGGCTACGCGAAAGGGCACTACGACCGCAACCACATGTTCCCCTACCCCTATCCAGACACCAGCCAGTTTCCGGTTGTAAGTGGCCCCACTTTCTTATAACAACTCTCCTCCAACCTAGATCCTCTTTTCCCAAACAGTACTGGACCGGAGGCTACCGCGCCGATCAGGGCAGCTCCGCCAGCACCGCGCGGCGGCAGTGGCCTATATGAACGAACAGGATCGCCACGTGAGCGCCGCCGCCCGACAGTCCGTCGAGGGCACTTCGACGTCCAGCTACGAGCCGCCCACCTACTCCTCTCCAGGCGGACTGCGCGGCTATCCCGGCGAGAACTACTCCAGCTCAGGTGAGTCTAAAAAAAATCAACCAGCACACTTAAACTTTCACATGTTCTTCAAACAATTTTATTTCCTATTTAATAACTTATAAATTTTTTTAGAGATAACCTTATTTTGGTAAAGCATACATTTAATGGACTAATATAAACTTATATCCTTTTTAAATGCTTTGTACAGATACTCCTGTTAAAAGTAGTCAGCTAAAAAAATGTTAAGCAATATTTTTGATTGGAGATAAAAACGTGGTTTAAATTGAAATTTTTAAAAATGTGTTATGATCTATTAATGACAATTTAATTCTTTTAAATCAAATGATTTATAATACCTTGAAGTGTAAAATACAATATTTAAAATCAATAGTAGAATAGAAAATAGTGTAATCCAAACTAGTTGAAAAGCTATACATCTCTTAATATGAAATGGAAAACTATATGTAATTTTCCCAAGTGCATCTGCGTTGCTGTTTTGTCACCGTATCGGTTTGAATAGCGAACTGCGAAACCGGCAAGTTTGTCGTTCAATTAGCGTACTGCAAAACAGCCCATAAATCGATTCTCGCTATTTGTCTAGCGTTACGCCTTAATGTGGGTGTGAAAGTCGTTGGAAGTGCATTCTATGGGGGTTGCCTGCTTATGTTTGTGCCTTATCACCAAAACTTTTCGAACCGTCAGAAGAGTGTCTGTCAACAATGCATATTTTCCTGGGGAACCCCCAATAGGGGTATATTTCACTAAAAACAACCTCGCTAGTCAGTTTTACAATATAATAAGGCCCGTAGAGACACACAGGCTTGGTCATTAATGGTTAATTTAAAGAGCTGTCCAAAAAATTAGACTTTCTATTGAGTCGGCGATTAAGACTAGTATTTAAAAAAAATAAATCCACCTTGTCACTTATTTTCTACATTAGATTAATTGCTTCATTTGGGCGCCCAATGAGCGGTAACGAATGTGTTCATCAAACATAAACCACTCGGGTGTGAATATGGGCCTCATGCCAATTCGGAGCTCCGCTCCCCGTACCGCACCAATTAAGGGGCCATAAACGCTGAATTGAATAATTTTGTATTACGCTTATTGCTAAACAATTTCCTTAATTGCACTATAAACTTAACGATCTTATATTGCACCGACAGCGGACCACCCGCACTTCTGTACATACATGAAGTAACCCTATTATTTGATGATTTTTCAGGAGCCTCCGGTGGATTGTCGGTGGGTGCAGTGGGTCCTTGCACGCCCAATCCCGGACTGCACGAGTGGACCGGCAGGTGTCCGTCCGGAAAAAGCGAAAGCCGTACTCCAAGTTCCAGACCCTGGAGCTGGAGAAGGAGTTCCTTTTCAATGCATACGTGTCCAAGCAGAAGCGCTGGGAGCTGGCCAGGAATTACAGTTGACCGAGCGACAGGTAAGTATTGTTACAGCTATTCTATAAATGAATTAATAATATCCCTTGCTCTATAGGTCAAGATATGGTTCCAGAACCGGCGCATGAAGAACAAGAAGAACTCGCAGCGCCAGGCCAATCAGCAGAACAAAACAACAACTCGAGCAGCAATCACAACCACTCGCAGGCGACCCAGCAGCACCACAGCAGCCACCACCTGAACCTTAGCCTAAACATGGGTCACCATGCTGCCAAGATGCACCAGTGACCCTTGGACAACAGCAGCGCGGGCGCCATGGGCTTTGCCACCTACTAGCAGTTAGCCAATCCGAGTGGGGTCACCAACCAGCCCAACTCGAATCCCCAACCCATGTCCGATCCGAACCACCATCAGCTAATTAAGAACGAGCTGGCCATGGACTTTCCATGTTAGCCAGGCGACAGAGATGCTCCAGCCAGGCCGAGTGAGGTCGGTTAAATGTACAAAACTCCAGAGATCTCTAGGATGCGGTAAGGATAATATATAGCCTGAAACCAGGTCGAGGAGGATCAGGATGACAGCTGCCCAGGAGTGCGCAGGCGTCGCTGATGTTGATTATGTGACCAATCGACGTTGATGGAAATGCAGTTAGTTATTAAGTCAGTTCTACGGATCCCCAGGGATCCCCTGAGGTCCCAAACCCAACACGATAATGCAGCTTAGTTTGGTAGTTGAATATAGATACGAGTAAGATGAAGAAGAAGCCGTAGCAGATGCACTTGAAATTTCGCAACTGTACGAAAATATATGTATGTACGTATTTCTCTCAAACGCTCTCATTTACCTAGGCGAGCACTATGAATTTTCCGAACTATAAATTATGAATATGAATATACTTAAACGTCAGTGAATATAACCCCGCATAAATTATGAATACACGCGTTCGAGTAGTAGATTTTACCATAACTATCCACTTAAGAGTTAGGCAGAGCAGAGCAGAGCAGCGCAGAGCACATTGTAGACCCAGATAAATGTTCTTGAAACAAAAGAAATTGTTTAACAATTTTCGGACCCCTCACAGCCCCCCGCAAAAACACAAACACACACACACTCCGCAGTCTAGGATAAATTTTGTCGTGTAATGTTTTTCGTCGTGTCGTGTCCTTTGATACCTTCTAAGTTCCTGTATATAAACTAAGACATCGCGCTGATTTCCGGCCGAAGCAAGCACTCGATAACTAAATTAATGCAGATATATATACTGCGTACACGCAGAGATATTCAATACTTGTATGATATGAACTCGAATTCGATTTTAGCAAATGGTTAATCGTAAGTCGCAAATTTTCAATGAGTGTGTGCATGTTTACTCCATAGTTGAAGTCGCTTTCGAATTAAATTAACTCTAAAACGATGAAAAACAAAAAAAAAGGGGAAGAAAACTACTCGTAAAGCTAAAGCAACAAAAACTAAAGAGAAATAATTTAACTGAAGTAAGCGAGTGTGAAAAAATGAGGTGGGGATGTGTCGAGGAGGAGTAATTAGCATACCGTAACAGCTACTTATATAACTTACACATAGTACATATAGTAATCGTACATATGCATACATATATTTTCATGTGTATCGACGCCGCTTGATCCTGATATTAAGTCTAAGTTTAGTTGTGTTGTGTAATTATCGATTTTGTTAATGTTTTGCCCCGAGCATTATATTATTATGCTAAACCTATACCTACACCTACACCTACACCTATGCCTGTCATTATATGTGTATAATTAGCCTATACATACTTGATGAAGAAATGATTTCACCCACTGCTTTATTCATGTTCTTGTATTATTATTATTTCGAGCCCTCGATAAGTTGTAGTCTAAAGTCGGTTATGTTTATGATTATGTTCGATTATAGTTTGTTTAGTGAATTTTAATCTAGCGTTAGCAATTCTCTTTTTTAAAAAGTTAATTATTGTGAATAAAATACAACAAGTTGCAGATGTGCAAGAATATACACAAAATTTGAAAGTATCCCAAACATTTCGCGGCATCATGCTAGCCGCAATACATTCTTCAAAACTATTTTTCCCGATTCCCTGGTATCCTTTGATTTACTCACATCCGTTCCGTTTTTTCCAACCATTATTTCGGTAAGTATACAAAAGAGGAGGAGGATGTTGAACACATCGCAAGCGACCTCTCACCATCGAATTTATTCATAGACATCCAGATACTCGTACTCGTACAGAACGTAAAGCAAAATACGTATGTGCTGCAATTACTCGTAAGCGGATCAGTTCGTAATCGCCACTCTCTCAGCCAAAAAGAAATCAAAAAGCTTTCTCATCATCAAACGTACACTTACAAAATAATTTTCGAATTTTGGAGAATTCTTTCTTTTCTTCCATTACGTTTTCTGAGTTTTGATGATTTTTTTCGCCACTGGTATTGTAATACAGCGCTTAAATAAATTAAAACTAGAATTAATAGTCTTGTTTCGGCATATGTCTTAAGATTAAATAAATTATTATGTAACTGTGTTTTTCTGAAATTTTCTTAATGTTAGCTTCGTTGTTTTAAAGGAGTAAAGGTGGGTATTTTTACAGCCTTTCAATTTTTTTAAATTTAATTGAATAAAGCTTTCTATTTCGTCTACAATACTTGAAATCATTGCAGCCAATCCTTAGTTCCGTTTAATATGCTGATGAGCTTTGGATGAGCATCATATATCACTTAGAGACAAATTAATTGATAATTACGTTTGTTGTTCGAAAGCTTTATCATTCCTGTTTGCTTTAAATTAAATTTTTTAATGACTAGCTGAAGGTTTGTATGCCTTTCTAACGTAAAGCGTTAGCAAATTTAATTGATTTGTGTGAACATTGATTGTGGTGAACAACAATTTTGCACTTCAGCTTGGCCCAGGAACATCCGGTTATCGATATTTAAGGACAGGTTTTGGAGCTGAGAAACTTTCACCCTCAACTTTTCTGTCAAACACGGATATATGAGTCAACGGCTAAGAGCAGGATTTAGATTGATTATAAATATTTAAACAAAAATATTTTAAGCCAAAAAAGGACAAGTCTGTTTCACTACCATCAATTTTAAGTCCAAAAGCTAGCTGGTCTGTCAAATTAACTGTTAACCTCTAAAATTTATTTCATATCGGGTAAATCGTAAAAATTTACAAAATTGGTATACTGAAACCCCATTACAATAAATCCAAGATCCGCCAATAGTGCAAAATTCAGTTTTTAATTTGGGTCAATTCTTGGTTTTCGATTAATGGGCAAGTTTTATATAATCACCAGCATTCTTATGATTTTATGATAAAAATCCATTTTGCCTTGATGTGCTATGCATAGAATGCCGCCTCTATTTGGTTTTATTAGGATTTAAATCATTAAATAAATTTATTTTTTCTTTTTCTAGCCGGTGTTAATAAACTAAGAAGCTAAGAGCTGCATGTTTTGCGTACAGATCAATGTCTCCTGATTAATTTTAATAGTCTAAATGATTTTAAATACGTGGATTTAATGGTCTTAAATCCATTAAATGTATTTGAATTTGCATGCTTCGTATCTAAAACTAACAAATCATTATCGAAATGAAATATTTGCATTGGTAATTGCCTTCTTTTGAGTCATAAAAGTAAACCCTGCAATCTCGTGTTTGTTTAAATGGTATTCAACCCCTGCCAAGGGGTTGGAAAAAGAAAGCCGATAAATGCACACATCAGTGTACATGGAGTTGTTTGTGCACATGTCTGTGTACCTTCTGACGGACAGATGTATCTACCTATATATAAATTTAAATAAGTTTTCATCGATGCTGAGCTTAGAGGCTTCGGGGAGGCATATACCATTAAATGCACCCTGCTATGTAAACACTGGCATTTCCCCTGCTCGAAGGTTCGCAGACTGCCAGATAAAGTACCTCGGTTCTGTTCGGTTTCATGCGTTTTTTATGTTATGTACAAGGAGACGCTTTCACCCATCGAACAGCTTTCTCTGGGTTGGGTTCATTTGGGTGGGAATGGGGATGGGTTCGGTGGGTGGTTGTGTCCAATGAAATAAACAACCCCCGCCAGCCAAATTGTAGTTCTCAGTGGTGCGAGAATTTTAAAATATATCGATTGAATGGCTTTGTATCAGAAACGTTTTCAAAGATTTCATATTACATTTTATTAATAGTATTCACGACTACACATTACGAACAATTATAAAACTTGTTCTTTGAGATAACGTTTAAAAAATATCTTCCTTTATATTTAAAAGATAAATTTTTTAGTGATTCTTGCTGCCTATTTTAAAACATTAATTTGAAATGCATGGTAAGTAACACAAATGTGTTATAAATTTAATAAGTAAATAGTTTAAAAAAGGCTGTAATTTAAATCCGCGAAAACCAAGTATCTGTGCAGCTATTATTAAAAAAATTAATATTTATGGCGATGAGTATTCTATGTTTAGAGTTCTTATTTCAGCTCAGCCATCCTGTCGTCTGAAAACGATTGATCTTCATATAAATAAAATAAAGTAATTACAATTTGGTAACAAAAATGTTTATTAAAAATGTACTGCTTCTTATTGACTATTCAAAAACACAAGTGTAACTTCTGAATAATTGCCTAGCCTTATATATACTCTTTGCATTACTAATTTTTCATCTTCCAATGATCCTTGGAGAATCTTCATTTTAGGCGTTGATCATAAATCCTAAGGAACTACTCAAAATGTCAGTCTCAATAAAAAAAATTCTTGATTATATAAAATTTAAGAGATGTAATTCTTTTTTTATTTATGAATTCCTGAAAAAAATAAATCTATAAGTTTGTGTTAGACCACTACAATAAATCCTTTGGATTTTACTGTAGCTTAGGTGCAAATGCTAAAGTCGGTCTTAAATTTTGTTCGTCATAATTGTTAACACCGCCGAATATAATTACTTAAATAAGTTCTGTTTTTATTATATTTTATTCCGAATCAGACTTTTTCTACATTTGATCGGGTTCAAAAGGAGTGTGCCATTGATTTACCAACAGAAATCAGTCGCGAACAGACCAAATTAAGACGTTTATAAAGCGAACAACATTTATCACATTAATGTTTAGTTTCAATAAATCTATCCAGATTATTTAAAATATTTTTCCAAGATGGTTCTATCCCACGAAAAACACGCAAACCTGCAATTTGGAATGGATGTATGTCTTGGGAACACCGAGGGTTAAAACACTTTCTACCCAAGGGATCCATGTCGAATTCGCGGCATATGCGGGGTAATGGTAAAAAGTTGTCGCAAAGTGCCCGAGGATGGCTGAAAATATGTACCTAATTCAATACGATTCGATCTGGTAATCAAAAGATAAGCGCGCGGACGAACCCCAGACGGAATGCAGAGGCCATTGGGGGTTGAAGAAGTCAGATGAGCAGAATGTCGAAGGAATAACAATCAAATGATTAGAGCGGCACCGAACAACCACCGTGCTGGGAAACTGGAATTCAAAATTGACTCGTCGATGTCGTCAGCCTCGAATCCAGTCTCTCGGCCTCCGGTTCAAAATTCAGAGTCAGAGTCAGTCGTCAGTTTCAGTTTTTAGATTCAGATTCAGCTTTCGGGTTGAGCGACGGACGGGCCTGGGACTTGTTTCGCACATAAAGATACAAATGTATCTGCGCCAGACAGCAAATGGCGTATATAAAATGATTGGACATGAGTCGGTGTAGTATGTATGTATAGATGTCGGGTCCCCAGTTGGATTGTCGGGTGGTTGTTTCGACCAGGCTGCATGGCCGCAGTGCGAGCGAGATGGGGCTACTGTGGCCGAAAGAGAGGCAAGATACACGCGCGTTTTATGACCCGCCGCGTTGCCTTTTGCCGCCGCTTCTCTTGGCTTTTCATCTTTTGGCATTGGGTCTTCGCCTGGCATTCTCATTCTCATTTCCTTGGCGTTCTCGCAAGTGTTGCCATCGTGGCAGCGCTGCCCGGGTTTACGACCTTCTGGTTGGCGTTCTTTCCTACCCACTTTGCCCTTCTGGGGTCTCTCTACATTCTCCGTTCTCGGTTCTCGGATTCTCAGTTCTCGATTCTCTGTTTTTGTGCCATGCTCACCTCGCATCCTCACATTCTCACATCCTCACAACCTCGCCGGCATCGCATCTCCTCGACAACCACCTCGGGTATATCTGTATCTATGTATCTATATATCTGCGTATCTGTATCTGCGCCTGGCCCGTCGACTGCGCTGCAACCGAACCGAACCGAACCTTGTGTCAAAGTGAACGGCAAATATTATTTTTTGGACACTTTGCCATCAGGTCGCCGTCGCGTCGCCCGGAGCTACTACATCTCGTCCTGCTCCCCGTTTTGTATCCATTGTCCTGCGGAGCTCCTGGAGTTCCTGTTGTCGCATTCGAGGTCCGACTGTGGGTCCCAAAGCCACGGCCTTTTGTTGGCGTTGCACCAATTGTGTTTAATTGAAACCGACAACAAAAGCCAGAAACGCTGCAAAAGAGAACCCAAAAGAATCCCAAAAAGTATACCCAAAGTATAAAAAGAAAATGAACGAAGTGGCTGTAAATCAAAAGGAGCCGGTTCGGGTTCGTTTGTTGCCAAAAATACAAGAATTAATTATAATAATGACAAAGAACAAGCACTTTGACCCCACTCCGTGTCCGCATTCGCATCCGAATCCGCGCGCGTTCGTTTGGCCAATTGTGAATGTGGATTACAATTTCGCGTGTGCGAGTTGAGGAAAAAATGGAATAAGGAAAGAAAAAATGGAAAAAATGAATTTACCAGCATTTCCGCCTTGCGGTTTGCCATCCAAAGGGACAGTGGTGCAGCTTTTGGACCGGGCTCCCTCGAGTGCGCGGGGCGTGACTTCAATTAAAGTGATTTGTGGCCTCCGTTTCTGACATACGAGACGTAAATAGCGGCCCTGAATTATGGTGCTGCTAAAATATGTATATTGGAACATAGTCCTCGGCCCACCGGACAAACACTCGCAAGTCACGCATCTTGAAAACGCCTCCAAGTTGGCTAATTGAAGGCTCCTCACTTGAGGTGAGTACCACTGATGCATTTGATTGCAAGTCTCCATTTTTTGACAATCAAAGAATTAAGTAACTGAACTAATTTAAAAAAATATAAATATTTAACATGTCTTTTGAAGCTTAGTTGATTTTTTACATTTTCCAAAGGCGTGTTTGTCTCTTAAAATGCTTATCATCTCATAGTTTTAGCTTTGTTCTGAGCATTCCAGTCCCAATTTGGCACAATAAGAAAATCAGCAGAACATAAACAGCCCATTCACCTACTTCTTGACCTAAGGAAAATAACGATTTCAAACTTCAAAGAACCTAAATCTTTCGATTGTATTCGTTTCGTTTATTAGTGTACAACCTCATAAAGACAAACATAATATTTGATCTTAGGAAATGACTGTACAATATGTCAGAGCAATATACTTTTTTGGCTTGCATTATTTAAGTAAATATTATCATATGTATTGTAAATTTATATATAGACTACCTAGTTGTATCTTTTAAGGGAGTTGTGAAGTGGATGTCTAAAACTTAATAACTTCGTTGTTTTTAAACATTTTAAAGCAACTTTTTAGCAATATTTTTCAATCCGTGTTCTAACTTATTGATGATTTTTCTTTTAAATTAAAAAAAGGGAAATACTTTTTGAAGCAAGGAGTGACTTATTATTCTTTAAATATCTCAGGTTGGTTTCGCAAGAATATTCGGTAGATGGATTGAATATATTACCGACAGTTTCCGGAAGGAGATCGATATTTGAATGGCATACAGGTAGAAATTGCTAAAAAGGGTTCTCTACTCCTCCTCGAAGTGATTTATGAAAGTGCGAAAAGAAACCCGCGGCGAGGGCGGGCAGAGTGACGCAAAATGCGACCGAGATCCGCAGGACTTGGCAGGATTATGCTGATGACAATCCGGTTCAGGTCACTCGCAGACCCCGTTCGAATCCGTAGAAATCGCTTGTCCCGGCGAAAGCGTGAAGGCGGGTCATTTATGACCACATCATAAACAGTTTACAGCAGCTCGGGCCTCAAAATATTTTGGTTTGAACAATGGACAGTTCGAGACCGTGGATAATTCCCAGTTGAAGCAAATATCGAAGAAACGGGTTGGGAGAAACTAGAGCAGCTCAGCTGGAGGTGGTCGATGATGTAACTGCAACATATGGCACTTCCTGCTTTTCGAATCGATGAAGCCAATGAATACATAAAGCCCATAATTGATGACGTGCAGATTGGTGTTCTGTCACATTTTAATTGCCCCCCATTTTCTCGAGCGGGGGAAAAGTCATCCACCCACGAAAAGCGCGTGCTGAGAGCCCCTCGGAAAATGGCGTCGGAAATTAATGGGAATATGTTTCAGAAGAACATAAATGGAAAGACATGTGTACAGTACACATGAGGGCAATCGTGTCACCACCGCCTACGCTCATTAAAATTCCAAGGGCCCAAGAGCATCCAGGGATGTGGGTTTGGGCTCGGGTTCGTTTCGTATCAGGGGTTCGGGTTCTGTTATGGGTTTGGTTCCCGGGGACCATCTTATCAGTTCCGCGGAACAGGCGTCCCGAAAAATAATGTAATTTATTCCGACACTTTCATAAAAAGAGAGACCAAAACTCTCGGCAACAAAGCAAGACATTATCGCCGCATAATTAATGCCACATGTTGCAATGCGCTGCAGCGAGACAATAAAACGCCAGTCGGTCGCTCCTTTTGTCCCCGAGGAGGTGGAGTTCCTGAGTTGGAGTCCCGGGGTTGGAGCCGCGGCACCCATGAGATATCATAAAGCCATCCCGCTTTTAATTGCCCGCCTAGAACTCGGCTCGTTTCCATATTGAGCGCTTCAGCTCATTTGCATAAATTTATCCGAAGGAAAATCAGCGACGGAAAAGCCTGAAAATCCTGTCCTGAGTCGATTCAAAACCGCCCTACCACCACTTTTCACCGTCCGCTTTGGCCTCCATTTTCGCTGGCACTGCGCATGCGCCGCGCTGCCATCAGAATCAGAAGAGGCCATTATAAAATGGGCGGAGCCAAGAGCCGTTAGCTCACCACAGACTCAGCGGGTTGTGGTGAGTTTCGCAAGCGACCCTTGTTGCCTGGCGTTGTGGTGGAAAGGAGACAGACAGCGCAGGAAACTCAACCCCTAGATATCGGGTGTCCGTGCCAGTTTTTCTCAGTTCCGAGAATATCCCGTGCCCGCCTGTCCTTTGACTTCCAAATGTTTTACATTTTAACTTTGTTATTGTGGATGCTGATTTTCTATAAATATATAAAACCATCTTTTGTGATCCTGTATATTTGAAAAAATATCTACGCCACAGTTAATTTGAATAAGGAGGTTTCAGATTTGATGAGTTTGTGGTTGAATTCTCTAATACTCTACATTACAATTTTTATTTTAGTCGAGGGTCCAATTTTTAGCCGATTTTATGTTTTGTTTTTTCCGTATTTCCAATGGTTTCAGAATGGGAACCCAAAGCTGCACTTCTAAATTTCATAACTTTGGTATTTGGATCGCGATTGTCAAGTGGGATACCTCATTGAATTTGTGGTTGAATTCTCTAATCATCTGCATTTAAATATTTTCATTATACGAGGGTCACATTTTGAGCCCATTTTCATGTTCGATTTTTCCTAAAATCCAATGGTTTCAGAATGGGAACCCAAAACTGCACTTCTAAATTTCATAACATCGGTATTTGGATCGCGATTGTCAAGTGGGATACCTCATTGAATTTGTGGTTGAATTCTCTAATCATCTGCATTTAAATATTTTCATTATACGAGGGTCACATTTTAAGCCCATTTGCATGTTCGATTTTTCCTAAAATCCGAGGGCTTTCAGAACGGGAACCCAAAACTGCACTTCTAAATTTTATAACTTTGGTATTTGGATCGCGATTGTCAAGTGGGATACCTCTTTGAATTTGTCGTTGAATTCTCTAATCATCTACATTTAAACATTTTATTATATGAGGGTCACATTTTAAGCCCACTTTCATGTTCGATTTTTTCTAAAATCCAATGGTTTCAGAACGGGAACCCAAAACTGCACTTTTAATTTCATAACTTTGGTATTTGGATCGCCATTGTCAAGTGGGATACCTCATTGAATTTGTGGTTGAATTCTCTAATCATCTGCATTTAAATATTTTCATTATACGAGGGTCACATTTTGAGCCCATTTTCATGTTCGATTTTTCCTAAAATCCAAGGTTTCAGAATGGGAACCCAAAACTGCACTTCTAAATTTCATAACTTTGGTATTTGGATCGCGATTGTCAAGTGGGATACCTCTTTGAATTTGTGGTTGAATTCTCTAATCATCTGCATTTAAATATTTTCATTATACGAGGGTCACATTTTAAGCCCATTTTCATGTTCGATTTTTTCTAAAATCCATGGTTTCAGAACGGGAACCCAAAACTGCACTTCTAAATTTCATAACTTTGGTATTTGGATCGCGATTGTCAAGTGGGATACCTCTTTGAATTTGTGGTTGAATTCTCTAATCATCTGCATTTAAATATTTTCATTATACGAGGGTCACATTTTGAGCCCATTTTCATGTTCGATTTTTCCTAAAATCCAATGGTTTTCAGAATGGGAACCCAAAACTGCACTTCTAAATTTCATAACTTTGGTATTTGGATCGCGATTGTCAAGTGGGATACCTCTTTGAATTTGTGGTTGAATTCTCTAATCATCTGCATTTAAATATTTTCATTATACGAGGGTCACATTTTGAGCCCATTTTCATGTTCGATTTTTCCTAAAATCCAATGGTTTTCAGAATGGGAACCCAAAACTGCACTTATAAATTTCATAACTTTGGTATTTGGATCGCGATTGTCAAGTGGGATACCTCTTTGAATTTGTGGTTGAATTCTCTAATCATCTGCATTTAAATATTTTCATTATACGAGGGTCACATTTTGAGCCCATTTTCATGTTCGATTTTTCCTAAAATCCAACGGTTTTCAGAACGGGAACCCAAAACTGCACTTCTAAATTTCATAACTTTGGTATTTGGATCGCGATTGTCAAGTGGGATACCTCTTTGAATTTGTAGTTGAATTCTCTAATCATCTGCATTTAAATATTTTCATTATACGAGGGTCACATTTTAAGCCCATTTTCATGTTCGATTTTTCCTAAAATCCAAGGTTTCAGAACGGGAACCCAAAACTGCACTTCTAAATTTCATAACTTTGGTATTTGGATCGCGATTGTCAAGTGGGATACCTCTTTGAATTTGTGGTTGAATTCTCTAATCATCTGCATTTAAATATTTCATTATACGAGGGTCACATTTTGAGCCCATTTTCATGTTCGATTTTTCCTAAAATCCAAGGTTTTCAGAACGGGAACCCAAAACCGCACTTCTAAATTTCATAACTTTGGTATTTGGTTCGCGATTGTCAAGTGGGATACCTCTTTGAATTTGTAGTTGAATTCTCTAATCATCTGCATTTAAATATTTCATTATACGAGGGTCACATTTTGAGCCCATTTTCATGTTCGATTTTTCCTAAAATCCAACGGTTTTCAGAATGGGAACCCAAAATGCACTTTAAATTTCATAACATGGTATTTGGATCGCGATTGTCAAGTGGGATACCTCTTTGAATTTGTGGTTGAATTCTCTAATCATCTGCATTTAAATATTTTCATTATACGAGGTCAGATTTTGAGCCATTTGTTTGATTTTTCCTAAAATCCGAGGGCTTTCAGAACGGGAACCCAAAACCGCACTTCTAAATTTATAACTTTGGTATTTGGTTCGCGATTGTCAAGTGGGATACCTCTTTGAATTTGTAGTTGAATTCTCTAATCATCTGCATTTAAATATTTTCATTATACGAGGGTCACATTTTGAGCCCATTTTCATGTTCGATTTTTCCTAAAATCCAAGGTTTCAGAATGGGAACCCAAAACTGCACTTCTAAATTTCATAACTTTGGTATTTGGATCGCGATTGTCAAGTGGGATACCTCATTGAATTTGTGGTTGAATT